TTTTTTTTTTTTTTTGGTACTATTTTGATATCAAGGTAATAGTAACTTCATAAAATTAATTGGGAAGTGTTCCTTCCTCTTCTATTTTCTGGAAGAGGTTGTATAGTATTGGTGTTAATTCTTCTTTAAACATTTGGTAGAATTATCAATGAAATCATCTAGTTCTGGATATTTCTTTGGGGGAATTCTTTTCATTACAAACTCAATTTCCTTAATATTTACAGGGCTCTCTAATTTTTCTATATTGGGTAGATTATGATAGCTGTATTTTTGAGGAATTAAACTATTTCATTTAAGATACCAAATTTGTGTGTGCACAGTTATTCATAATAATCCTTAATTATCCTTTTGATATATGGAGGAACTGTAGTGTTATCTCCTGTCATTTCTGACATTGGTAGTGACCTGAAAGGTCAATAAAAAGAACCACATCTGCTGACACCCAAGAATGAGAGGGATTCCTTGTTAGTGTGGACAGGGGTGAGAGTTCTGGCTCCCCTCTAGGCAGGACTGATATCTCCTTGGGAGGGTTAGGAGAGTCCCTAACTGCTTCCTGTGTGGCCTCCACTGAGACAGGGGAAGAAGAATGGCTTTATTACCTCTGGGCAGTGGGAAAAGTTATAATGCTCCACTAGGCCCCTCTAGCAGCTCTTAAGCAGGGAGGGGGAGGGATGCCTTGTTCAAAAGAAATCTTAAATGTCACTAATACATTAGTCTTACTCGGAATTAAATGAGCCATTTCTAATAAGGGGCCTGTTTCTTTCCAGCTGAGCAATCCTGGGCTCTTCCTCTGTGAGTGAGGCCAATAGTCCTTACCCTGCCAAACTCACACGGGTGTTATAAACGCAACAGATTTTATACTTTCATTATATATTTCTATGACAACAGATTCTATTATCATATGAACATAAAACGGTATGTTTATACTGTATAACCCTTACAATTATTTTGTGGACTATTTCTGGTGCCATTTTCCTCCATTTCCTTTATTCTTAGGAATACTCCTTGAAAAACAAAACAAATAATCTTGTCAGATATACAGGTAAAGATGTACATCTAATAGAAAAGGCCCTTAACATTTATTTTACATCTTAGTAAGTACTGAGTATTCCAGCGTGAACTTAGGGTGGGGAACTGATTCTCCTGACCCACAAATCCTGATGCCAAAAGTCTTTTCCAGACTAGGTAGATGAGATATGGTAATACATTCTTCCACTGTTTGCTTCTCCTAGGACTTGAATGCACATGCTGAATGGTGAAACCAGCTAGAAACTCCCTTTCAGCTTTATACAGAGTTAAAACTGAGACTATAATAGAATTACCTGATAGGGCAATTGTGAACATTGAATGAGTGAAGGGCCTAGAATGGTGTTTGAGTAAGTGCTCACAGAGTATAAATTCGGATCACCATCTTCTGCAACAGCAGAGACGCTCTTACTCAGATGGCTTGGGCTAGGGTTGCCTAATTGCCCAGGATCAAGTAGTAAATCTTATGTTTTACTTTTACCCAAGACTCTCAGGAACAGGAGAATCCCAAGAGCTTTCTCAAGTAGCACCAAGGGAAGCCCCCTTTAACTCCATTTATTGGCTCTTATGATAACGTCTCTCTTCTATCACCTATGTTTCTCTTGGCCAAAGAATCCCTTCCCGTATCCTATATCTATGAAAGTTACCAGTGATTTGATTGCCATTTTTTCCCCATTAGTCTAAAGAATATATCCTAGTGTTTCAAATGTGATAGTGCCAAAGAAATGGTAACACACTTTCCAAATATAACCTATGCCCACAAGTAATCAATTTTAGCAGACCCCTTTTCCTCCATGGAGAAGTGGTACACCTTGGAGTGGCTGCCTGGCTCATTCCCACACTCTGTAAAGGGTACCCAGTACAAAGGGAAGCCCCAGGTGACTGTGTCTCTGCCACGTGACCTTTCCCCTTGAACAAGCAGGTATCTGGAGACTTTCTCTTACAGAAGCCCAAGCTTGACACAGCACAGACACCATGTCATGTGAGGTGAGTCACACTTGTGGTAGTGCCAGGATAGAAAGTTTACGCACTTCTGCTGCTGAAGTTCCCAGAGCTGCCCTGATGCCTCCTTCATGACTTAATATCCAGCTCTGTTGTGATTACACAAGACACTCCAGGATGCTTCCCATAACATCCCCTATTTTCCTCAAGCCAAACAGAGTTGATTTCTATCAATTACAACCAAAAACTAACAAAAGGTAACACATCTAATCTTTTTGCCTGTGAGCCAAAAATAGTAGGGAATTCACTAGAGTATTAAATGAGGATGAAGAC